GTCCAAAAGCTTTCAAAATCACTGCTCCTCCTTGACCTTTTTGAACTGCTGCAGTCTGTGTGGTGAAGCTCTGCCCAGATTGCTGTTTGGTAAGGAGTTTCAGGATTTTCATTCAGTGGTAATAAGGTAGTGCTGATATCTGTATTAGTTACAGTCATTTTGTTTTAATATCCCACCATGAACAGAATAGAAACATGGAAAATAGCAACAGAAGTAGGCCATTGTGTCATTTGATCCTGCTCCCCTATTCAGTATGATCATGGCTGATCTTTCAACCAGTAGCCTTTTCCCACTTTAGACCCACATCTTTTGATCGCTTTAGCCCTCAGACCTATAGCTATGTTCCTCTTGGAAACATCCAATGTTTTCGCTTTAACTGCTTTCTGTGGAAGAACATTCCACAAGCTCACCAGTCTCAGAAAAGAAATTTTCCATCATCTCAGTCCTAAGCAGCATACTGTATATCTATATCCTTAAACTGTGACTCCCTGGTTCTGCACTCCCTCATCAACCTCCTTCCTGTATTTAACTTGTAAGTCCTATTAGAATTTTATTGGTTTCTGTGAGATCTTTTCACGTTCTTCTGAACCCCAGTGAATTTCATCCTATCTGATCTATTCTGTCATAATACATCGGTCCTGCCATCCCAGGAATCAGTCTGGTAAACCTTAATTGGACAGCCTCCATAGCCAGAACATCCTTAGTCACATAAGTATTCCAAAACTGCACACAAGGCTCCAGGTGTGGTCCAACTAAGACCCTGTACAATTTCAGCAAGTCATCCCTGTTTCTGTTCTCAAATCCTCTCGCTATGAAGACCAACCTGGCATTTGCCGCCTTCATTTCCTGCTGCTACCTACATGCTTACGTTGAGTGACTTGTGTCCAAGGACAAACAGGTCTCAGTTCTCGTTTCTCATTTCCCTTTTCTAAATCCAAGCTGACTGACTCTGACTTTGTCTAATCCTGTTACTGTTTTCCAGTGTTGGGCTAACCGATCTATAAGTCCATGTTTTCTCTCTACCTTCTTTTTTACATAGTGGGCTTACATTTGCTCCCCTCCAATCCATGGGAACTGTTCCAGAGTCTATAGCATTATGAAAGATGACCATTAATTTCCTCAATTTAGATTCAAGCCCCGAGTTTCAGAATGCATCCACTATCTCTCCTGCCACTTTGTTAACTACTCTGGGGCGTATATTATGAGGTGCTGGGATTTGTTGGCTTTTAACCCCATCAATTTCCCCAACATTATTTCCCTCCTAATACTGATTTCCTCACTTCCTCCCTGTCATGTGATCCCCAGCATTTTAGTGATATTATTTATGTCATCATTTGTGATGACAGAACCAAAATATGTAGTTAATTGGTCCATCCATCGCTTTATTCCACATTGTAACTTCCCCTGTTTCTGATCGTAAGGAACTTGTTTTCATTACTTTTTTTCTCCCTTCATATCCCTTTTGGAGCTTTTACAATTAGTTTGTATGTTTCCTACAAGTTTCCCCTGAGACTTTATTTTCCCCTTTTGCTGAAATCTGATCTGCTCCCAGTCTTCAGGTCTGCTGGTCTTCTTAGCCAATTTTTACGCCTCTTCCTTGGATCCGGTACTATCCCTAACATCCTTTGTTAACTATGGCAGGGTCGCCTTTCCCATTTTATTTTGTGCCAGACAGGAATGAACAACATTTGCAATTTGTCTAACTGCTCTCTCAATATTTGTCAGCCCCCTTAAAACTTAAGTTCCTCAAGTTATTGTCGCCTGCATGCACCTCATAACACTGTAATTTCCTATCTTTAGATTTTGGCCCCTCGTCTCAGAATCATCTCTGTCACTCTCCATCTTCATGAAGAAGTCTTCACTTTTCCACAGCTAGATTTCCAATGAATCCATTCTCATTACACAATTTAAATTTTGAAATAAAGTTGCTGTGGTCCCAGAAGATCGTCAGACTGTTCTGTCTCTTGAGAGAGAGAGAGCAAGAGACGACTGACAGTGCTTTAACCTCAGGGTTACCGTGCCTCAGTCAATGGGCAAGGTTAAGATGGTGGGACCTTCATGGTGACCTCAGCTGGTACAGGAAGTGAGTACGTGCTGCTGGTGTCACTCTGTGTCATAAACCAGCTGTCCAGCCAATTGAGCTAACCCACCCCTGACCAATACACAATACACCTTTGAGGATGACTTGTCCTTTCTTTGGGTACTCAGTATGTTGATCTAGAAAACCATCTCGTACACAACCCAGGAATTTCTCCTCTATGGTATTGTTGCTGATTCGATTTTGTTCAACCTATATGCAGATTGAAGTCACCCATAATAACCATAAGAGCACAAGACAGAGGAGCAGAATTAGGCTATTCGGCACACTAAGACTGCTCCACAATTTGATTGTGACTGATATGTTTCTCACACCCATTCTCCTATCTTCTCCTGTTGATCCCCTTACCAATCAAGAACCTATTTATCCCAGTCACAACTACACTCAATTACTTGGCCCCCACAACCTTCTACGACACTGAATTCCACAGAATCACCACCCTCTGGCTGAAGAAATTCTTCTTCTCAGTTCTAAAGGGTCATCCCTTTGCTGAGAGCGGTGCCCTCAGATTCAAGTCTCTCCTGCAAGTCGAAGCATCTCCATGTCCATCTATCCAGTCCTCTCAGTGTTCTGTTAGTTTCAATCACAGAGTCATAGAGTCTGACAGCATGGAAGCAGACCCATTGGTCCAGCCAGTCCATGCTGACCATGTTCGAAAACTAATGTAGTCCCATCTGCCTGCACATTGTCTATATCTCTCTGAACATTTCTCATTTACATATTATCCAAACGTCTTTTAAATGTTGTAAACTGTACCTGTATCCACCACTTCCTCTGGACGTTCATTCCACGCAAGAACCACACTCTGCAAAAAAAAAAGGTTGCCCCTCATGCCTTTTCTCAATCTTTCACCTGTCACCTTAAAAAAATATGCCCCTAGTCTTGAAATCCCCCACCCGAGGGAAAAGACATCTGCTATTCACCTTCTCTATACTCCTCAAGGGCAGGACTTAAACAATGGTAGGGCCCTGGGTAGTGTTGTACCTCGGTACCTTTGTACCTGAGATGGTGCCACAAGTGGCAACTTGTAAACTTTTCACTGTACTCATGTGACTACATGTGACAATAAATGTTATTCCATTTGATTAAAAATATGCTTCCCGGTCTTGAAATCCCCACACCAGAGAAAGGACACCTGAATTTCACAAACCTCTATAAGGTCAACCTCAACATGCTACATTCCTGTGAAAGGAGTCCCAGCCCCTCCTTATGACTCAATCCCTCCATTCTCATGAACATCCCGGTAAACCACCTTTGAACTCTCTCCAGCTTAATAATATCATTGCTACAACAGGACAACCAGAATTGGACACAGTCCTGCAGAAGAGGCCTTGCCAATGGCCTGTATGATCTCAACATGACGTCCCAACTTCTCTACACAACAGACTGAGCAATGAAGGTAAGCATACTGAACGCCTTGTCAACCACCCTGTCTGTATGTGACGCAAATTTCAAAGAATTCGGTAACTAAAGCCTCAAGTCTCTATGGTCTACAATACCCAAGGGTCTGCTTTTAATTGTATAAGTCCTGCATCCCTTGTTTGTTTTAGTACAGTACAGTACCTCACATTTATTCAAATTAAACTCCATCTGCCACTCCTCAGCCCATAGACCCAATTGATTAAGATCTCTTTGAAATCTTAGATAACCTTCTTCACTGTCCACTATGCCACCAATTTTGGTGTCATCTGCAAAGTTATTAACCATGCCTTCTATATTCTCATCAAAATCATTTATATAAATGTCAAACAAAAGTAGACCCAATACCAATCCCTGCAGAACGCCACTGGTCGTTCCTCAACACCAGGCCTCCAGTCCAAAAAACAACCCTCCACTGCTATAGCCTGTCTTGTGACATTAAGCAAATTTTTTATCCAATTGGCAAGCTCACCCTAGATCCCATGTAAGCTAACTTTACTAATTAGTCTACCTTGTGGAACCTTGTCAAGAGCTTTACTGAAGTCCAAGTAAACAATATTTACTGCTCTGCCCTCGTCAATCATCTTGGTTACTTCATCAAAATCTCAGTCAAATGTGTAACACACTATTTCACTTGCATAAAACCATGCTGAAAATCCATAATCATTCCTTGCCTCTCCAAATGCTATCTTCCACAATCGCCTCCAACAACTTATCCACCACCAAAGTCAGACTCACATGCCTATAGTTCACAGGCTTCTCCTTACATCCCTTAAATGAAGGCACAACATTAGCCACTCTTCAGTCATCTGGCACCTCACCCGTAGGTATAGATGATACAATATTTGTGCAAGCATCCCCAAATTTTCTCTTTAACTTTCCACAACACGATGGGATGCACTGGACAGGTTGTAAGCTTTAGATTCATAGAGTAATACAGCATGCAAAAAGGTCTTTTTCCCAAACTGGTCCATGGTGTCCATTAAGCTAGTTCCAACTGCTGGATTTGGTCCACTTCCCTCTCAACCCTTCCCATCCATGCACCTCTCCAAATGTATTTTAAATGCTGCTATTGTACCAGCCTCAACTACTTTCTCTCGCAGCCCATTCCATACATGCACCACTCTGTGCATGAAGAAGTTACCCCTCAGGTCCTTCTTAAATCTTTCCCCTTTCACCTTAAACCTATGACCTTGTGATTTCAATTCCCCATCCCTGGGATAAAGCCGATACGCATTCATCCTATCTTTGCCCCTCATGATTTTAGACACCTCAATAAAGTCACTCCCTCATTCTCCTATGTTCCAAGGAATAAAGTTAAACCCTGACCAACCTGTCCCTACAATTTGGGCCTACTCGTCCTGGTAACATCCTGGTAAATCTTCTTTGCACACTTTCCAGTTTAACTATGTCTTTCCTGTGACAGCGTGACCAAAACCGTACACAGTATTCCAGTGCAGCCTCACCAATGACTTATACACCTGTAACATAATGTCCCAACACCTATATTCATTGCCTCAACCGATGAAGGCCAGCATGCTAAATGCCTTCTCCTCCACCCTTGTTACCTGTGACACCACTTTCAATGAACCATGTACTTGTTCTCCTAGGTCCCTCTGTTCCACAACAATCCTCAGGACCTTACCATTTACTGTAAAAGTCCTACATTGGTTTGACTTTCCAAAGTGCAACACTTGTCTGTATTGAATTGCATTTGCCAACCCTCGGCCTACTTCCCCAACTGATCGAGATCAATTTTCTGATAATCTTCCCCTCTCAATACCTACTAATTTTGTATCATCCACAAACTTACTAATCATCCCTGTATATTCACATCCAGGTGATTTATGTAAATAACAAATAACAAAGGTCCCAGCACTGACCCCTGTGGAACACCACAGGCTTCCAGTCTGAGAAGTAACCTTCAACCATCACCCTCTGCTTCCTACCATTGAGCCAGTTTCGAATCAATTCACTAGCTCTCCCTGGATCCCATGCGACCTAAACTGCATGACTAGACTGCGTGCAGGACCTTGTTAAAAGTCTTATTAAAGTCCACATAGATGAGATCACTGCCGTACCCTCACCTATGCTCTTGGTTTCCTCTCAGAAAAAGTCTGAAAGATTTGTCAGACGTGACTTCGCGCGCACAAACCCATCCTGACAATCCCTAATCGGACCTTGACTATCCAAATGTTGGTTGATCCCGTCCCTCAGTATCCTCTCCGATAACTTGCCTACCACTGCTGTCAGGCTCACTGGCCTGCAGTTCCCTGGCATGTCTTTGCTACCTTTCTTTAAACAATGGAAAAACATTAGCCACTATCCAGTCTCCTGGAACTTCACCAGTGGCTAAAGCTGAAGCAAAAATTTCTACAAAGGCCTCTGCAATTTCTTCCCCAGCCTCCCACAATGTCTGAGGATGGATTTGATCAGGCCCAGGGATTTATCCACCTTAATGCGCTTTAAGGCTGCAAACACCACCTCTGAGAATAAGTATGTGGTCCAAAACATCCCCGCTTGTTTCCTGTATTTCCGTAGCATCCATGATTCTCTCCTCACTAAACACTGAGGAGAAATATTTATTTAAAAATCTTGCCCTGTCTTCTGTGCCACAGGATATCCATCTTTATATTTTAGAAGACGTCCATGTGAACTGTTTTCAAAACACACTATTTTTTTCCCTGAATTCTCCAACATCCACTTCTTTCTCCACCGTAAAAACTGATGCAAAATATTAATATCTTTGTAATATTTCTGTCATCTCCTGAGGTTCAATGCTGAGATGACCTCTTTAATCTTTAAAGAGCCATGCTCGCTCTCTAGTTGCTTTCTTGCTCTAAAGCACTTGTGGTGTATCTTTGCATTATCCGTCACCTTATCTATCAAGGCAATTTCATATCCCCTCCTGCCTTCCTGATCTCCCACTTAAGAATGCCTGTACACTGTTTGTACTGTTCAAAAGATTCATTTAAACCCAATTGTTTGTATCTAATTGATGATGAGTTTTTTATTCTTGACTAAAAGCTGAATATCCTTTTCATCCATTATTCTCTAATTCTCCCAGCCTTACCTTTCATTCTAACAAGAACATAATGATTCTGAACTCTCGTTACCACACTTCTGAAAACCTCCCATTTATCAGATGACCCTTTACCTGCAGTCTACTCCATTCAACTTTTGAAAGTTCTTGTCACATACCATTAAAATTGGCCTTACTCCAATTAAATACTTTTACCTTTTCTGGAAGGCTTATCCTTTTCCACAACTGTTTTAAGACTGACAGAATTATTATCACCAGACCCAAAGTATTCCTGTACAGTCACTTCAGTCACTTACTGTGCCTTATTACCAAAGAGAAGCTCAAGTTTTCTCTTTCTCTTTAGTAGGAACATTGACTTATTGATAAAGAAAATATTCTTGAACACATTTAACAAATTATTCACCATCCAAACCTTTAACACTGTAGCAGTTCCAGTCAATGTTTAGAAAATTAAAATCACCGATTCCTACAACCTTCTCATTCTTTCGTATATCTGAGATCTCTCTACGTATTTGTTCTTCAATTTCCCCTGACTAATTAGGAACCCATAGTACGATCCCACCACATGATCATTCCTTTCTTATTTCTAATTTCAACCCATATATTTTCACTGGACATTTTTTTTTTTCAGAAATATCTTTTCTAGTTGCAGCTGCAATATTTTCCCCAATTTTAAAAAAAAAAGCCACTCCCTCACTTCTTTTGCCTCCCTTTCTTTCCTTCCTACAGCTTCTGAAACCTGAAACATTAGTATGGGCAAAATATCTTGCATGGCGTATAATGTAGGAAAATGTGAAGTCATTCACTTTAGCAGGAAGCAGAAACAAGAGCAGAATATTCCTTAAATGGTGAATGACTGCTGAATTCTGAGATGTGGAGGATAAAGTATGAGTTACAAAGTTAGTATGCAGATATAGCATGTAACCATGGTGTCATACAGCATGAAGACAGACCTAATGGTCCAACTATTCCATCCTGACCATATTCCCAAACTAAACTAGTCCCATCTTCCTGCATTTGGCCCACAGCACTCCAAACCTTTCGAATTTATGTGCTTATCTAAATCTCTTTTAAACATTGTAACTGTAACTGTACCTGCACCTACCATTTCATCTGGCAGTTCATTCCACACACTGAGCACACTCTATGTAAAAAGAAAAGAAAAGTTACCCCTCATGTCATTTTTTAAATCTTTCTTCTCTCACCGTAAAAAATATGCCCCCTAGTTTTGAACTCATCCATCTGAGGGATAAGACCTTTGCTGTTCACCTTATCTAAGCCTCTCGTGCTTTTATAAACCTCTTTCAGGTTACGCCTCAACCTCCTATCTTCCGGTGAATGAAGTCCCAGCCTATCCAGCCTATTTTTACAACTCGAACCCTTCTTACCCAGTAATATCCTGCTTTTTTCTGAACCCACTCCAGTTTAATAATATCCTTCCGATGACGGGACTACCAGAATGGCACACAGTATTCCATGAGAGTCCTCATCAACATCCTTTACAACCTCCAACATGACGTCCTAACTCCCGTACTCAAAGACCTGAGCAATGAAGACAAGTGTGCTGAATGCCTTCTTAACCACTCTGTCCACCTGTGAAACAAATTTCAAAGAATAATGTACCTGAAAGCCTAGGTTCTCTGTTCTGTAATAGTACCCAGGGCCCTACTATTAATTGTATAAGTCCTGCCCATGTGAAGTATTCCATTTTGGATAAAACAAACATTTATTCAAATAAAGTTCAATCTGCCACTCTTTAGCCCATTGACCCAATTGACTAAGATCTCGGTCTAATCCAGAAAGCCAATAGGCTGTATGCTTTATTATCACAGGAATTAAACATCAATGTAAGGATGTTCTGCTTCATTGGTACAGGGAAGGGAAGAGACCAAATCTCAAATACCTCGTGCAGGTTTTGGTCGTCTGTACGCTTATTCGAAGTGGTTCAGAGAAAGTTGACTAGATTGAACCCTGGAATAAGTGGGTTGTCTAAGGAGGATAGGTTGGGCAGGCAAAATGGAATAGGATTCGGCTGGAACTGCTGACTAAAACAGTAAAGTAATATGATGTGAGCCAGGATATAGGGTGTGGTGAAGTAGAATCTCTATGGGTTGAGCTCAAACGTCAGTGGAGAGAAAGTGATATTAGTGTTGTATATAGACCCCAAGCTGCAGTAATATTGGGGAAGGCATTAGAATGGAATTTAGAACTACAAGGCATAAAGTTATGGCTGTAATTATGGGTGACTTCAACCTACATATAAATTGAGCAGATAGCATCAGTAGCAATAAGATAGAGGAGGAATTCTTAGCGTATATATGGTACAATTTTAGGTTGAAAAAGCAGATGAGTATTGGGTAGTGAGAAAGGAATAATTGACAATCGAGTTGAGCATGGGCCCTTAAGGAAGAGTGACCACGACAGGATAGAATTCAACATTAAGATGGAGAGTGATGTCGTTGTTTTTGAGACTAGAGTCCTGTAATTAAATAAAAGAAGTTAGATTGGTATGAGGCATGAGCCAGTTGTGATAAATTGTGGACCACAATTTAAATGGATGATGGGAGATGGGTAATGGCAAACATTGAAAGAGGACGTGGACAAGCTGTGGCATAAAAATAAAATCGAAACGTTGTCAAACCATGGCAGAGAAAGAGAAATGAGCGGGTATTAAATTTAAGGAAGCAGCATACAAATTGGATAAATAAAACAACAGACCTCAGGATTGGGAACCGTTTAGATTTCAGCAAAGGGAGACAAAGGGATTTAATTTGAGGGAGAAAATAGAATCTGAGAGTACTCTTGCATGGACCATAAGACCAACAGCGTTTTTAAAATAGACATTCACAGGATGTGGACATTGCTAACTAGGTCAGAATTTATTGCACATCCCTGATTGCCCAGAGTTAACTACATTGCAGTGGGGGTGGAGTCACATATACACCAGACCGGGTAAGGATGACAGTTTCTTTCCCTGAAGGATATTAGTGAGCCAGATGGGTTTTTCCTGACAATCAACAACGGTTTCATGATCATCATTAAACTCTTAATTGAAGATTGATAATCCAAGATTAGTCAAGAAAAATGTAGGGTCTCCTTACAATCAAACAGGGAATTTATAATGGAGTGCAAAGTGATGACAGACCAATTAAATATATCTTAGATTTTCAAAAAGGGGCACACAAATAATGTCCCAAAATTAAGGGGATCACAGGGTCTAATTGGAAGGTGGAATTGTAAGAAATTGGGAAAACTAATGAGGTAATAGGCAGATAAATCCCCAGAGATTGATAACTTTCATCTCAGAGTACCTCAGGAAGTGGCCTTAGAATGAGCAGCTGCACTAGTGGTTATACTCCAAAATACTATACAGTCGCCAAAGAGTTCTGATGGTTTGGAGGGCAGCTAACATAACCCCAGTATTTAAGAAGGAAGTCAGAAAGAAAACATGGAATTTGCATAACATTGTTGGTGGGAAAAATGTTCGAGTCCACTATAAAAGGTGGGATAACAGACTCCTCAGATGATAGTGACAAAATCAGACAGAGTCAGCCGAGGCTTTTTCTGTGCTGTAGGTCTCTGAGACTGGATGTTGGGCATGAATTCCCTCCCAGCCACTCCCCATCCTTAATTGGAAATATATCACTATTCCTTCAGTATTGCTGGGTCAAAATCCTGAATTCCCTCCCTAACAGCATTGTGGGTCCACTTGCAGCTCATGGAATACAGTGGTTCATGAAAGCAGATCACTACCACCCTCTCAATGACAACTCAATGATTAACAGCAATGCCCACAGGAATAAAGGAAAAAACATTATCAAGGCCGACTGGGAATGTGGAATTGAAACCTAAATAGATGAGCTTTGACCTTTTTGAGGCTCGAGGGGCGTAATGGACAACTCTAGATCCTATTTCATATGTTCTCTTCTCCTTCTATCAAAATGCCTCATCTCACCAAAAATGGTGTATTCCCTGGAAATAAAAGGATGTTAATTGAAGCTGGGTGAGGGGATAAAATGGAACTAATATACCGAGTAGGTGAAGTAGGAGCGCAAACACCCTCCTGACCCCCAGTAATCAGACAAGATTTGTGTTTCTTTGTTCTCTGGTTCATTCAAGCATATGAATGAGGAACAAGTGTCGGCCACTCGGCCCTTTGAGCCTCCTCTGAGATTCAATAAGATTAGGGCTGATCTGATTTCGACCTCAACTCTGTGTCTGCGTATCCCTGAATATCTTTCATCATCTCGGTCATCAAGAATCTGTCTGCTTCTGCCTTTTTAAAAAAAAAGTTTAACGATTTGCAACCACTGCCTTTTGACAAAGGGAGTTACAAAGATTCACAACCCTCTTCGAGAAAAGAAATGTTCCTCACCATTTCAAATGGATTCACCCTTACCTTTAAACAATGACCATCAGTTCTAGATTCTCCCACAAAAGGGACCATGTTTTCAACATCCACGTGGTCGGCTCCCTTTAGTATCTTTCAAATTTCAATTTAGTCTCCTCTTTTTTTTTTTCTAGACTCCAGAGGATCCAGGCCCAGCCTGTCTACCCTTTCCCCATTAGGCACTCGACTCATTCTAGGTATTAGTCCATTAAATCTTCTTTGAAATGTTTCCAATGTATTAACAACTTTCTATAAGTACGGTGACTAGAACTGAACACAGTACTCCAAATGCAAGTCTCACCAGTACAAAGGGGGACCGCGTGTGTCTGAAGGTGGCCCATGAATTCCCACTTGTTTACAGTAATGCTTTTCAGCAAGCTCAGGTCATTTACATTTATCCAAGTACAGGCTGAGACAGGTTATGGTCAGACAGTTGTACGGTTTGTATTGTTATACAGACAGCGTTGTTGTGGTATCACTCAAACCTCCCACTCTGCTGGCCCTGCAGAAATGATGACTGGCTCAGTAGCCAGTTCCCACAGCCTGATTTGTCCTGTATTTTTCATCTTCTGTCCTTTCAAGGACATTCATGATCGAGGTGGGTTTTTCTAACAATCCAGAAGTTTTCATTCCACGTTTGACTGTTTTTAAATTTATTTTCTAGGGAATTGGAAAGGATTTACAGACAGGCAGCTCAAGTCAAAAATTGGATCAACAGCTGCCAGTAACACTCAATTCTCGAGAGCTTTGAACGTGGAAGAAAAAAGCATCGTTCACGGTGAAGAGAAACCGTACACGTGGTCTGTGTGGACAAGCCTTCAGTCAATCGTCTGGCCTGTCGATACCTAAATGCAGTCAAAACAGGATGACAACAATGACATCAAGCAGCACTTGCTTTGCAATCTCACAGTGATGGATCTCAGTTTGAGTTAAGCAAGGGCCACTCATCTCCTGATCTCTTGACATTTTTGGTGCGAACGTGGACCAAACAGCTGAATTCCAAATCAGAGTGTGACTTTCCTGCCATCTTAAGGCTCTATTTGACAGAGCATTGTATCAAGGAATCATAGCAAAACTGGAGTCAACGGGATTCAGAGAATATGATTCTCGCTTTGATTGTGGGTTTTTGAAAAGATTGCATCTTCAGACCTGAGTAGATCAAAACAAGGTGAATTTATTCAAGCTTGTACCACATATATGCGGAAGAGGTCTCCTCGTCTCGCTTGGAGATACTCTACCATTTGCAGCTCAAAACAGCATATTGAGACATTTTCACGTCAGGATGGTTGTATATAACATTGGCATAAAATAAATTAGATAAGTCATTGACTACAAAAACAGGATGCTGTTCAGTTTCTTACAAAGTCTTGAGTCCTCTCATTTCAACGGGTCTTCTATTTCCATGTTATCTTCAGAGTTTCTCTGTCCCTACCATCAGCTCACAGCACGCAAGCCTTTCTTTGTGAGTGATACTTAAGTGAGTATTTTTAGTTAGTAACTGCTGACGGTTCACATAGATATGCATTTAAACTACCTGAGACGAAATAACTGTCATTACATGGTTGTATTTGACTCTTAGCCCTATGCTGTACTGTTCGTCCAAGTTTATCTCCCACTTGTTCTGTGTTTTAATGCTCCACTGCTTTCCTTTTATATTTTTATATTCCCCTTGTATCTCTCCTATCCTCCTTGCCCGACTTCACCTTAGTTGGATAATACTGAATACAGAGGAAGGTGCCTGTGATTGTTAGAGGCCAGCTATCTCAACTTCAGAAATTCCTCAGCATCAGTTTCTGGTCCCAAGCACCTTCAGCTGTTTCATCAATGTCCTCCCCTGTGTCATAAGGTCAGAAGTGGATATGTTTGTCAATGATTGCGCGATGTTTAACACCATTTGTGACTCAGCTACTGTAGTGGTAGATATTTAAGTGCAGTGTCCCTGGACAACATTGAAGTTAGCCTGCTACGTGACAAAGAACATTTGCACCAAGTCCCAACAACTAATGACCAAATCTGAGAAATGAAAATCTAACCATAACTCATTGACATTCAATGGTTTTATCTTCACTGAATTGCCCACTATCATCATCCTGGGGTACTAGTAGTGATGAGAAACTGAACTGGGCGTGATATTTAAATATTGTGCCTACAAAAGTAGGTCAGAGGGAAAAGATTCTATCGTGATTAGTTCAACTCATGACTCCCCAAAGCCTGTGCATCATTTAAGAATGTCTGTCATTAAGAACACTGTCAATTTGCTTTGATGGATGCAGCTCCAATGACACCAAGAAACCTGACACCATCCAAGACGATGCAGTCCATTTAACTGGTGCCCCATTCAGTACTTTCAGCATTTACTCCCTTCATTACTGAGGTACAGTGGCAGCAGAGTGCACTATCTACCAAATGCCCTGCAGTTACTCACCCACTCTCCTTTGACAGCACTTTCCAAGCCTGCAAGCTCTTACCACCCTGAAGGACAAGAGCACAGAATGCATCAAAACAACACCATCTGCAAGTTCTCCTCCAGGGTGCGTACCATCCTGACTTGGAGCAGTATCAATAATGATCTCATTGAGTGGTGCAGTGAAATTGACGGGCCAAAAAGCCTGTTTCTGCCCTGGATCTTCTAAAGCTCGAGCATCAACTTCCTGATCTTATAGTCCAGCCTGTGGTCGAGAATAGAAAGTATCCCACAACCCTCTTGACCATGTGATTGTCCTGTCCAACCACCTTCAGGAATTTGTGAATGTCCACTCCAAGGTATCTTTATTTATTTTAGAATCCCCTTCCCCTCCCCCATTTCTGAAGAAGGTTCCAGACCCGAAACATCAGCTTTCCTGCTCCTCTGATGCTGCTTGGCCTGTTGTGTTCATCCAGCTCTACACATTGTTTTCTCAGATTCTCCGGCATCGGCAGTTCCTACTATTTCTGAGTCAGTTTTAACTCGAGCCACAGAGTAGCTCCGCGCACTCAGTGCCATCCCCATTTCTGGTTGTATCTTCACGGCTGGGGCACTGAGTTTTTTTGGTTCCGGGTCGAGGAACTGGGATTGTATGATCATCTGCAGGAGTGGTTACTTCCTTGTGTGTGGGAACTGATGAAGTAACCGACATAAAACTAAATTGCTATTGAAAAATACATGTCAACAATATCCTGAACTATCCCCTGAGTCCTTGATGTTTTGTAGAAAACTATCAATCTTAGCGATCAACGTAATGAATCATGGAATCTCCACTGCCCCTGGGAAGCATCGAAGTTAAAAGTTCAGCTCACACTGAGTCCCCGCATTTCAGTCCACTGTTCAGCAAGAATTCCTGTTGTGTAACTGGTACTGCTCTTAACATACCTGCTGCCACTCTACACATTGCCTTGGTGAACCATGTATTGTTCTGTCGCGCTGCTACTCTGTGTTGTGGCTGTCGGGGTTTTGTTCGAATCCAAGTCATGGCAGTGAGTGTTTGTCGCTTTTTTTAGGCCTTGTGATAGGTGCTACAGAAATGCAGCAAAATATCAAACATTTTTACATGAAAATATTCCCCGAGCTGATGATTTTCTTCCCTCAAACACTCGCTATTTTGCGTATCTGCGTTTGATGTATCAGAATTCAAGCCCAGTTCTTGAAGATTTCTGTCCCTCCCACAATCACCAAACCTCCTTTACATTCCTCGGTTCACTTTACTGAGGCACTGCGCAATCTAACATTCATTTTTACATTGACACCTTTCAGTCTGTCCTGTTACTTCGACTGTCGCTGAATGAACGTGCTCCAGACTTACCAACGGGACCTTCAAACCAGTCGATCCAATGAGATACTGCGGTTGTGGGATCAAACATCATGGAGCAGCTTTTTCCTGACATGCACCAGTGATTACTGGAGTATCAGAGTCAGGAAAAGGTACAGTACAGCATTGATCAAAAGAGACTTCGATGAAATAGACTATTTTCTGTGATTTTCTGCGTCATTTACTTCATTTGTTCATTCGGCTATAGCTAGAGTATTATGTGCAGTTCTGTAATTCACATTATAGCAGGGATGTGATCGTACGAGAAACGATGCAGAAGAGGTTGACCAGAATATGTTCTGGGCTGAAGAGTTTCAGTTATGAAGAGGGATTGAACAATCTTGGTTTGTTTTCCTTAGAGCAGAGGAGATTTACAGGAGGCAAGATTGAGATGTACAAAATAAGGAGGGACATTGATGGGGTAGACTGAAAGAAACATTTCCTCTTGATGGAGGAATAAATCACGAGGGGGCCACAGATTTAAAGTAAGATGGAGGAAGGTTTGAGTAAATGGATGGAAAACCTTTTTCAGCCAGTGCGTGTTTGGAATCTGGAAGCCAGTGCCTGTAAATGCCACTGGAGGCAGATATCCCAATAACTTTAAGAAACATTCAGAGGCAAATTTGTGATGCTAAGGCATACAAGGCTATGGGCCAAGCGATGGAAAATAGAATTAGGAGACTAAAGCAGTTTTATTTGCCTAGTGCACGATTAGGGGGCCTAAGGGGCTGCTTGCCAGTCGTCCTTGGTAGTGTAATGGTGAGTATCCCTGCCTGTCATACATGAGACCGGGGTTCAATTCCTTGCTGGGGAGTCGATGGTCATTTTTGATCCTTGACTCTATGCATGGTAGTCTCATTTTGGATTTTGAACTTGTCTGCACCAAAATGTGCGGCTCATTAACATCGGTTCAGAAGAGAGGTGGTCTCAATACGACTTCTTGGAAAATCCCTGTGCACTGTTCTCGAGTCTGGAAAACAATTCCTCACAGACAATTTTACATCCATGACCAACACTACACCAACTGTCATCATCATTTCTATGTTAAAGAACACAGCTATTGACTTACATCTCTCAAAGAAGAGTGAAATTAGCGTCAGTGCATCTCACTAATCGGATACAAAATCGTAGCAAGAAACAACGGGTTCTCGCTGATGGGTGCTTTTGTCACTGATAATCTGTTTCTTGTGTTGTTTCACAAGGCTCGGTGCGAGGTTGCTTTGTATAGACGTTGGAGCAGGAAGAGGCCAGGCGGTCCCTCCAGCCTGCTCCACTATTCAATATGATCATAGGGTTCACCCAACTCAGTACCCTGTTTCACTTTTCACCGCAGATTCTTTTGTACCTAGAAGCCAAAGAACCATGACTGACTCCTTCTTATAAAACTAATCAATGATTTAGCTTCAACCGTTTTGTGTACCACAAAATTCTTCAGGCTAATTGCTTTCTGGTGATGATATGCCCGAAACGGATTGCAGCTTATCCTCAAAATGTGATCTCTGGTTATGGACTCTCCAGTGATCGGGAACACATATCGAAATTCTCTGCGCTATACAATCTCATTCGCACTGCAAGAAAGGAAATTGCTATTTCGGCTCTCACAACTGAATCTGTTTACTCAACACCTTGCTCAGCTCCCTGCTTCCAGTAAACACTTCAATCAGGAACAAATCTATCAAATGCTTTGCATTGCGATAAGGACTGACGCTGCAAACTTGCAGAAGTCACGTCTTTGCCCTCTCACGATCTCCCCAGGAGCTGATACAAGTGGGATGGACGGATTTGTTTTCTCCTACCCTCACTCAATTGGCGACAACTTTCTAACTGCTCAATGAGATAAATCTAATGCTTTTCGATCATTGGAACCACTTGTATGAATATGCACGCAGCAAATCGAATACTACGAAACAGATAAACAACCCTTCGCGGAATTTATCACAGCGCTGGGTCAGCGATATGGGGAAGATCATCGAGCTAAAACATCATCCGCTGGTTTGGTGAATTGGCCATGGGAAATTGCCCCTCTTGTGCAGTGATGTGCAGACCAGATTGGTCAGCGGTGGGAAATGCAGTTTTTCAGAAAGCTCTTCGCGGTTCTCAGGATGGGTCACCGGACTCGCAACGTTAACTCTGATGTTTTCTTCACAGATGCTGCCGGACCTGTTGAGCTGTTCCAGAAACTTTGTTTTTCTTCGAGAGCCGATGCAGATTCAATGGGCCGAATGGCATCTGTCAATACGGTCGGTTTTCAATGATCTCTGACTCTATGCATTGTAGTCTCATTTTGGATTATGAAATTGACTGCACCAAAATGTACGGCTCATTAATATGGGTTCATGATCCACACCACACAAACTGTCATTATCATTTCTGTGTTAAAGAACAAAGCTATTTACTTACATCTCTGTTTCAAATAGATCGATGTAGTCCAGCGTTATTGGCATTATTGAAAACTAAAAGATATCATGTAAACCTGCCCAGAAAATATTCACGTGGACGTTGCCAGGGTTGCAGGTTTCGCACTGTACGGCGAGGCTGAATAGGCTGGGGTAG